TGTTCACTTTACATTTATATTTACATACGCTCTATCTCTGATATTGAGCACTTTATCCAATAAAGTTAACACACCTTAAAACTATATATATATATATATATATATATATATATATATATATATATATATATATGTATATATATATAAAAAAAAAATCAGAGATAATCTCCAAATGTAGGCATGAGAACAAGTACCTATTATCCGAATTCATACCAAACGGATAAAATAGACAAACCGACAACAATCACAACAACAATTTTTTTTATTTTGGTTTGAAATAAAAAAATTTTTTTAACTTGTTTAACAAATAACCCAATCATCAGATTCATAGAAATTATTAACTACAAACTTGCATACAACATAACACCCTTCATAATCCATAGCCCAAATTAGTAGTTTAAATACCTTACATAAAAGATAACCCTTATGAAGTCGTCAAAAACAAACGCCACGAAAGTTTTTTCTTTTTATATGCACAATTCCTTTCATAAGAAAATAAAATAAAATAAATAAATAAATCTCCATAGACAAGCCAACTTGACGAAAGCTTAATACATCTTCGTTTCTTTTTTAACACCCTCACCTTCCCCCGACTTGACACCTTGAAAGTATCTCTATACCGCCACTCATCATTAACACCCTACACTCGCCTACCCATTTTAGACAATTCGCCCTAGCTGTTACCATGGTGATTTTGATTTCAACTTTTAAAACAAGTAAATTTCAGATATACGTTATTCCAACAAAAATTCGCTTGAAGATGGAACGGAGCCCTTTTTTAATTTCAACTCAATTTAATTTAAAGGATTATATTGAAGTTTTCGGCTCTTGTTTTGAAACATGAGACCTCTTATGTAACGATTTGGAATCATATTTTTAAATAAATAATTATATATATATATATATATATATATATATATATATATATATAATTGATTTAAAAATTGATTTTTTTTTTCGCTACACAGTTCTAACCATGTTTTAAATCAATTAATTTATAAATATTTTAAATCAATAAATTTATAATATTAAAGATCTGTAAATTTACATTGAGCACTATTTTGTAAAAATAAAAATATCTATAAGAAAACCGGATTATATATTTTACTGTTCTTTCTTTATATATATATATATATATATATATATATATATATATATATATATATATATATAGGTAGAGGGGGGATTGTGGGAGAAATTCCGTTTCAATCTTTCGGTGTCCTCAGTTGATTTTGGTCAAATGATTTCAAAATATCATTAGAACTATTTTATTATATATATATATATATATATATATATATATATATATATATATATATATATATATATATATATATATATAGATAGATAGATATACTATGAAAAGATAGAGCAAATATATGTGGAAAATATAAAAACCCATTTTACTAAATCTTGGAATCGATACTTAGATGATTGCTTCATATTCTGGAAAACTTCCTGGGGCAATATTAAACATTTACACAATATACTCCAAAACATACAACCGAAAATCAAATTCACCCAAGGACATAATTCTAACGAACTGCCATTCTTAGATATACACATGACAAATAGAAATAATCACATTATCACAAAATCTACCAGTAACCTAAAGACACCTAATATTATCGCAAAACATATAGAAAATAAAATATAATATATATTAAAAAAATCGTCATTATTATCAAATATAATCTGTCCATTATATTTAACTACAACGAAGGAATGTCGAGAAATGAAAAGAAACACATGGAAGAACTAAAATTATACACAAAATCAAAGAAAGAAATACATAAGTTAAAGAAAAAAAGAAAAGACAAAAAAGAACACTATACTTCTATAACTCATATTCCAACAAAGAAGAATGGAATATTTCAAAACTCGGTGTGGATATCTAGAAAATATCGGAAATTTGCATATCGAAGAGGAAGCGTACAAAGCGAAGAAACATAATCTCGGGATGTGGGACAATCTTCTTAATCAAATGCAATGTCGTCAAAAACATGGGAACTGCTAGTATATACAAAACCTCCATAGAAATAGAGGAAACATTTATCCCGTGGAAATTCCAAGAAAAAAGGAATCAACATGAAAAGGAAAAACAGAAACAAATAAAAAAAATACAGGAAGATAAGACATTACAATTTACGAAAAAATACACCGATAAGTGAAGTATGTCCCAAAGAAAATTACCAATTCCTATTAGAGTTATGGAAGTCAAAATGCAAAGAAGAGGAGAAAAAATAAGGAATATTCTGGAAAAGAAACCTGGCTAAAAGTAATGAAAAACAAAACAAAAAAAAACGCGAAAAACTCACAATAAACTACACTCGACACCAGCAAATACAGAAAAAAAGCACTTAACAGTGGTAAGAATCCAAATATATACTACCACGCACAAATGCCCCTACGTAACAAATACAATTACTAAAATACACTTAACAACACACAAATAAACCTTTACAACATACCATTTTACCGTAAGACAGCCAGACATTGTAGAGAATACACACAAGTTAACAAAACCAAAACTTAAGGATATCACAACAAAACAAACCTAACAACCACTACTCATATCAAGAAATGCAATGAAAGTTCCCCACAATTCAATACTTAACCTCTTACAGAAACAACAAATTTAGAAACGTCTGGAACCCTCTGAGAGCAAAAACAAACACACTTATACGGAACCATCTAAAAATAAGAACCGCGATTTTACCAAGAGAAATTCTCACTGTCTAGAAAATCTACAAACATGTAGAGTAAGGTTATCGCCTAGAAAACTCGGAATATTTCGAAAGAAACAATCATTTATTAGAAATCCCAGTTCAAAAACGAAGACCAGTTTATATGACCCAGAAGTAAAAATAATAAATCTATCTTCATATGAAATTAAAACCTATTAAATTAGGTCAAATATTCTGTCGTACTCCGCTCCGAAAAGTAATATAACAGACTTAAAAAAGACTTTAGAGAATTTGAACGCAAACTCAGAATAATAGAAATATTTATAACAAAAATATTAAAAATCACTCAATAGTAAACAAATGAATCCAAATACTTCCCAAATAAATACAATAATACAAATGAATAAAAATAACCTCATTATCACAGATATCTAAACCTACACACACACAAAAATATAGCGAAAAATATAGAAAATAAATTATAATATATAAGCAAAAATTCACATTTTAACCAAAAACATTTGAAGTTTCTGTCATTAAAATATGCACTTTTCTCTTGTTGGTACTCTCCCTTCATTGATCTAGTTCTGCTGATAAACACGGAGGATACTATCGTCGGTAGAGGAATAACGGTGATGTCTGAATCAAAAGAAGAAATACGAGGAAAGTGATGATAAATTTCGGGAAGAGACAATAGATTATTACCGGGATATATAGCGAGGAAAGAGAACTTGGAGCCCCGAAGCAGGCTGCAAATATCGACTAAACTGCTTAATCGGTTTGAGTCAATAGCTGGCAGGGCAACACAGGACAGGAAAGACGTAAAAGGGACAGGAAAGGGGTAAAAGGGACAGGAAAGACGTAAAAGGAACAAGAAAGGCGTAAAAGTTGCTGTAAAGAACAAAAGATGAGAACGCATGAGTCATGATCGCCCTAAAATTTTTATTAGAAAATTACAACACCCGCGTCTAGTTGAAACTTAGGCATAGATTTTCATTGTAGTTTTCGTCTTTTTTAATCATCACGAATTAAACAATACGTTCTATCTATCTATCTATCTATCTATCTATCTATATATATATATATATATATATAAAAGTGATCATTGAAGTCAACACTTACAGGCTCTTTAGGTTTACTTTATTTACACACACACACACACATACACACACACACACATATATATATATATTCATACATGTTAAATAATATAGACAAGTGTTGTCTATTTATTTTATAATTATTTAATGAAACGTGCATGAATGAAAAGATGCTGCCTAAATACACACAATATATATATATATATATATATATATATATATATATATATATATATGTGTGTGTGTGTGTGTGTGTGTGTGTGTGTGTGTGTGTGTGTAGTACAGTGGAACCTCGGAGAAACCCACATTAAAACCGGCCTAGTGCCATATTCGTTTCTCGTGGGTGAAATGATAAATACTCAGTACAGTGGATCCTCGGTTTACGAAATTAATTCGTTCTTGAACGCCGTTCGTAACGTGAAATGTTCTTAAATGTAGAGAAAAAGTCACAGTTCAATGAAATAGCCAAGCACAACACACTCGATACGTCAATGTTGTTCGGGAACCGAAATTTTGTTCGATAACCGAGGCATTTTAAACTGGAATTTTCTGTTCGAAGACCGATTTGTTCGACATGTGGAACTTTAGAGAACCGAGATTGCACTGAAGGAGGAAGTAATAGATTATTATGAGTGAGTATATATATATATATATATATATATATATATATATATATATATATATATATATATATATATCGGTTGAATCTTGGCTTAGATTTTAGTTGTCAGGGAATCATCCCCTTGGGAGTTTGATCCACAAAATAACCGAAGCATTTTCATGTCGAATTTTCTAATAAGAAAACCGATTTGTTTGAGACGTTCGAGAACCGAAGTTCCTCTGTAATATAAAAGATTGAAAAAATCACAGTTAACACAACCCGAGTTACAACATTACTGCAACATCAGGTGGTTTGGGGGTAAGAATTATTTAACCAAACCAGGATTATTTAAAAAAAAGAAAAAGAAAAAAAAAGAAGACAGCCGGTAAGAGAGTAAATCGAAACCCCGGTCATATTAACTGTTAATTCTTCAATCTTTTATATTACTATTATTCGCTCCAAAAATTCACTTTTTAGAATATCCATCGTCTCCTGTCTGACCAATTAATTTTACATTCTGATATATATATATATATATATATATATATATATATATATATATATATATATATTATAATTTATATATATATATATCGTCATATCTGTTCATCTATGAATCTCCCACAATTTATATTTCTGTCTGTTCATATAACAACTTATTCATATCTATTTATTAATGTCTATTCATATCTACTTAATAGCGGTGACATCCATCTATCAAGTAAGAATATATATGTTTGCATATATCTCTCTCTTTCCTTTCATATATATATATATATATATATATATATATATATATATAAATATATATATATATATATAAAAATTCACTTTCAGACAAACATGTTCCGTGTCGGCAATTTGAAGCACTAGCAGTCCGTGTTAATTAGCAGGATCCTTCTTCAAAGATGCGCAAAAATAAACCTCGCATTCGTTGGGTCTGTCCCTGGGGTACTCGCTAAAGGAAAAGACTGGTCGGTCGACGCGGAAAAGTAAAATCTTTGGACGTTCATCGTCGTTGGAGAGTGGTGCCGAGGAGGGAGACCAGAAATTTTGATTAATGATTGCGAAAGGATAATTTCTTTCTTATTCAAATGTCAAAACACATTTCAGAAAGCGTTTATAATAAGAATCTATAAAACTGACGCCTCTCTCTCTCTCTCCAGACACACACACACACATATACACACACACACACACACACACACACACACACACACACACATATATATATATATATATATATATATATATATATTCTGTGGCATCGTTCCCATTTCCACATGACATCAGGTTAGACTCTTTTAAACTTTTACATTTCCAAAGAATATCAGACAAAGACATTTTAACTACAGTACCGACACCACATCGGTTCTTATTAATTGCGATGGTCAAAAGTACTTGAACAGACCAATAACAAAATTTGTACTATTTTGATTCATGTATATATATATATATAAATGACATTAGGAAAACTGTAATTGTTGCCGACGCGTTTCATCCAATGTGGACTTTCTCAAAGCAAAAAAAACAAAAAAAAAACGAAATGAATTTATTTAAACAAAGTAACTAATAATAACAAAAAACAAAATGTCCTTAACAACTGGAAGAATTTAGAGAACGCTATTTTCATACTGAAAATTATGTCAATTATTGTCACGTGTGAAGATATTGCTGTGATGACGGATTCAACCACTTTCTTTTTATTTCACGATAGTGTTGTGTACGTTTGTTTGGGAAAGTAGCAATTCTATTAAGAAAGGTGAAATAGGGAAAAAGCCTGGGCGTAGATTAATATTTGGGTAATATTCAATGGCGGCACTCTCGAGGATTTTCCTTCTGAGTGAGTTATTTTAATTTTTATGAGTGTAGCATTTTTAAAATCAAAATTGTGGTTCAATTTATTTCTATGTATGACTAGTGCATTAGCTAAGTTGTTTTTTGTGAGGTCTCTTTTGTGCTCATAAATGCGCTTTTTTTAAAATTTCTACTTGTTTCTCCAATATATTGGGAAAGTCCACATTGGACGAAACGCGTCAGCAATAACAACAGTTTTCCTATTGTCATTTATATTTATAAATATTTTCTTTTCCACAGGTTAACTCTGACACACACACACACACACACACACACACACACGCACACACTTTGAATTATTCAGCTAGAAAGAGAACAGGTTAAAATCTTTCTGTATCAGCCCCAGCATATTTTCTCATTTGAGCAATGGTGAGACTTAAAACATCATTCATGCCTTCAGTAATTGTACCAAAATTCATACTCTGCCTTCTATCATCAAAATCTATTCAAGAACCATCAAGTGGACGGTGAATAAATTTAAAAAAAAGGGAAGTGTAGAAAGGAAAACCGATCAGGAGGTCACAACAGTAAGAGGGATCATCATTTAAACTTAGAGCTAAATAAATTCTTATTGTTCAAAGTAGAGTCCAATAGTTTTATAAAAACCTCGGAGAATTCCAGTAAGATATCTTGAATCATTTCTAAGATACAACGGTTCAAAGCTTGTCTAACAATTGGACAATTCTGCTGTTACATCCGATACACACACACACACACACACACACACACACACACACACACACACATAAGAGAGAGAGATAGAGAATGAGAGAGAGAGAGCGATAAGTGTATTAAGTCTATATAGTTGTATGTGATGTTATATATATATATGTTTATATATATCAATATATATATATATATATATATATGTATGTATATATATATCAATGCATGTTTCATTAAATAATATAGACGTATTGTCTATCTATTTTATGTAAACATGAAAACAATAAACAAAAACTAAAAATTCTTGAAGCTATATACATAAAACAGTTGAAACCTAACCTGAACAAAATAAACTACGAAATCTCCACAAATATTCTTAAATGCCTATAATTGATGACAGAAGCCATTGGTTTATACCAACGGCTTCTCATACTTAATACTTCTCGAATTGACTCTCGCGTGGTCATGTGTGACGTCACGAGCTGCGATGCGATTTTCGCATCAAGCGTCTTATATGCACGAGTTTTTCGTTGCTTGGAAATCTTTCATATAAACAGAAACAGACTATCATCACTTTCTTGTCCGTGTATTGCTTAATATATTGTAATGTAATTGTCAAATCTGATAGTGGCTTATGTAAGCGAGAAAGCTTAGATAGGATTAAAAAATATGTATCAATATTGTGATTTTCTTTCTTCGTTTAATGATAATGTTATTAAGCTTAACAGACGTTATGAAAATAATTTACATAAAATAAATAGACAAAACTTGTCTATATTATTTAATGAAGCATGTATCCATGAAAACTGCTGCCTACATACACACAATATATATATATATACCAAATATAGATAAAAAATGTCGACACACGCGACAACTTCAACGCACAAATATATGAACATCCTGTTCCCATATAAATAATCTAGAATTAGGATACACGTAGCCACATGAATTATATACAGCAAAACTCTCTTGCCAAGCAAAACTGCTTAGCAAGACAGAGGTACGTGAGCCCTGCTTAAACAGTGACATACAAACAACACAAGAATTAAACACAACACAACAGCCTAATAGAGGCTCACACATAAACACAAACACAAACACAAATACACGCGCGCATTAGCATTACGAATCCAGATTAAACTAGAATTATGATACAAATACAAACATGAATTATAGACATGAACTCTGCTTTACAAGACAAATGTACGTGAGGTCTGCTTAAGCAATAGAAAACAAACAAGACAAGACAAAATATGGTAGAATTTTCGTTTTCTGCTACATATTTAATTCTCCGATGAAGCTTTAATAAAATATATGTTCCCTATTCTATCATTCTGTTGGATTCATTTATGATCTATACCGGACACCAATTAATATATATATATATATATATATATATATATATATATATATATATATATATATATATATATATATATATATCCTGACGTGCTTTTACCGATTTCACCACAGAAGATCGTTCGGTTATAAAGGTCGATTTTACTGTTTATAAATTATAAATTATAATTTTCCATGATTTTTTCACGTACGTCAATGACATCACACATTATGAAATGGGCAAAGTCCGACAGTTATTTTAAGACATTTTTATATTTATACTTTCTTTTTTTTTTTAACCACCGCAGCTACTTCCAGTCTTGTACCATTGCAGAGTCTATTCTGGATAGAAATGTTACGAAGAAGTATTATTATTGAGACGGGCTTAAAATCAGTTTATGAGGATGCATTTCTGATGGTATTAAAGACTTTAGAGATTCAAGTGGTTAGCGCTCAGCCTCAGACCATGCAGAAAACATGGCACTGTACTAAACTGATGCAATTCTGAGAGAGATTGGCATTAATTGTTTAGCAGTTGCGCTGTCTGAACCTATCGGAGTACCACAACTTGACCATCATGAAGACCTCGATCACTCAGGCATTGCACCACTTGACCGATTGCCAATGCTGTGCTTGAATCTGATAAAGAGGAAAGGTGAAGTGCACAACCATTTCTGTGTCTATGTAGATATACCAGGTGGTTGTGATAAGACTATGTTTAATACCACAATTTCGTATCTGCGAAGGGATAACTGCAACGTGTGCAGTGGTGCTTGGACAAGCACTGCCTCGACACTACAACTGGAAAGACTATCCATAGTTTGTTCAAATTATCTGTCCCAACTCACGATAGCGAGCCTTTGTAATGTACCAGCCACTTCAGATCATGGAAATTATTTACGAAACCTGGATCTGATCATCTTGAAATGAGGTTTCCCTTCATTTGCTCATCATGCCTTGCGAGATATTGCTGGCATTACTCTTTTTGGTGGTAATGTTGTGCTCTTGGAAGAGACTTTAGGTAATTCCTACCCATATTGCCAAAAGAAGCTCGTGAGACAATCATTGAAATCTGTATTGAAAATTGTCCTTATGGCTGATTTTCATCCAACACAGATTAAGCGAAAATATCAGGACAACAGCAGATCAAAGGAAATTTGCAGCATGGCTCTTGCAGCTTGTTCAATCAAGCATTAGCAGCTTCACAAGATCCTAATCTTGCAGTTGATGATATAGATGTGTGTTGTAGTTTTCACATTGGAGGCTTGTATTTCACTAAGTCGGTCCTAAAATAGGTTCGACGTACAAAACGTTAGGAACTTGAAATAATAGTTAATGACGCAGCAATCTCGTTGTGGTGGTTAATACTTTAAGGTCCGACATCGAGTGACTCACCAACTCACTCTGAGCTCCCTGGCGACTGCTACTACTACTACTTATTATCTGTGGGAGAGTATATTAACAATAGAATAGGTATGTTCCGGTATAACAATGTGCTTCAAATTTCATAGGTTGAGAGCTCTCTGGTGGATGATATCTTCAACAAGGAAAAGAACTCAGATTGCATCCTGATCAATGAAGAAGATTTGAGGCAACTTCCAGGTGACTGCTGCACTTATTATAGTACAGATAAAGTTTTGACAGATGATCCTGTTGAGGCTGAGCGCTATCCACTTGAATTTGTAAAGTCTTAGACACCTCCAGTAATGCCTCCTTATAAACTGATTTTAAAGAATTTAAAAAAATAAAAAATTCAAATAGAAATTTCATAAGATAGATAAAGTAATATTTTTTCTAGAATTAGGTTCTAATTAGTAAAGTGAAAATAAAATAGGAAGTGGGATGTAACATATGTAA